CCCCGCCCCCGCCCCCGCCCCCGGGCCCCATGCCCTCTTTCCGGCTCCGCCCGCCAACCACGCATGGTGCAGGTGCCCCAGGAAATGGCGGCCCACCCCGCGACGCACACGCGCATGTGTATATATGGACAACGGGACGGCGTGCGCCGGACTCGCACACACCGCGACACACTCGGCCCTGGAAAAGGGGCAGGAGGGGGGCTGCCAAAAGAAAGACCCATAAAGCGGGATATAAAAAGCCCGCAACATGCGCGCATCACGCGGACATCATGCCCCGGCAGCGCACATCACGCGCGCATGACGCAGCCCACAATCAGCCGGCGCCGTCCGCCCGCCCGCCCGTCCGCGAAGAGGCGGCAGGGCAGGACACCACCAGGAGGGGACCAAGAAAGAGGAAGAGAGACAGGGAGGGAGGGTGTATTGGCCGAAAAGGGGGGGGGGGGGAGAGCACCTCCCCCCCCTCGCCCCCGCCCCCGCCCCCCCCAGCCACAGGAGCCAGCAAAAAAGCACCCGGCCAGCACACGCCTCAATAGTCCTCCTCATCGAAGGCCGTGGAGCTGGAGGCCGAGCCCGACACGATGGCCTGGTTGCGGTAGAGGTCGGCGATTTGCGAGGCGGTCGTGGCGTCGGTGATGGCCTTGTCCTCGCGGATGCGGATGAACCGCGGGAAGCGCAGGCTGATGCCGCGCTGCGGGTCGGCCAGGCCGCGGCCGGCCGTGTGCACCGGCGACAGGGACAAGTCCGCGCACTTGACCTCCCACAGTTGCGACGGCTCGAACCACACATCCGGCCAGATGCCGGTCGACCCGCCGGCCAGCTGGGTCGACGAGTCGGCCCCGGAGCCGGACACATCATAGTAGCTCGGCGGCCGGGGGATGATGTGCGGCCGGAGGGCCTGGGAAAAGGCCTCCAGCTGCTCGTCGCTGAAGCCGGTGCCGATCTTGCACACCGATTGCCAGGTCTCCATGTCCTCGTCCCAGCAGGCAAGCAGGTAGCCGCCAAAGCGCCCGGCGCGCTTGCCCCGGCCCAGATACCCGCCGATGACGGCCAAATCCACACTGTCGCCCACCCCGGCCAGGTAGTCCTTCTTCACCTTGAGCCAGTGCCGCGACCGGCGGTCCGGCAGGTAGGTGGAGTCCGGGCCGTCCAGGGTCTTGACCATGAGCCCCTCGCAGTGGTCCCGCACCGAGGCCTCCAGGAACTGGGTGATGAGGTCCTCCATGGCATGGGTGGCGGCATCGGGGGCGGTGGCGGCCGGGGCGGGGTCCGGCGCCCGGCCGGCCGGGCCGTCGCCATCCCCCCCCATGGGGGCCGCCTCGGTCTTGGTGTCGGCGTCGGCGTCACCGGCGGCCGCCGCCAGCACCACGGCCGCCGCCGGGTCCGGCATCTCGACCCCGCCATCGCGGCACAGGGCAAACTCAAACTCCCCCGGCACCCGGCGGAAGCGCCCCCGGAGAAGGGCCCGCCGCTCGCGGAAGGAAGCCCGCAGCAGGCATCGCCCATCCAGGTGCAGCAGATCAAAGGCATACAGGCACACCTGCACCGTGATGGTGTCGGCGTCGGCCTGCTTGCGCCGGCGGGTCGACAGCACCTGGAAGGGGAGGATCTTGCGCGAGGCCGTGTCCACGGCCACCGCCTCCGAGTCCAGGATGAAAGAGGGCCCGCCCTTGAGCGAGGGCAGCACCTGGTCGAAGACCACCGGCAGGGGCGTCTCGCTGACGGCCTGGCCGACCACGGCCGGCGTGTCGCCGCCCCCGGCCGCGGCCTCGCCGGCGGCCATGACCGAGCTGGCGGCCCCGGTGTCGGTGGCCGCCTCGAGGTCCCCGCTGGCGGTGGTGACCACGTCCCCATGGAAGGCCGGCACGTCGGCCGCCCGGGTGGCCGCCAGCCCCGGGACCACGGCCCGGATGATGCGCTCCGCCAGCTCCGGATACTTGGGCGACAGGTCTTCCAGATTCCGGGAGAAGAGCCGCACCCGGCCGGTCTCCCCGCACACATGGACCTGGCACCGCTCGCCATCGTACTTGTACTCGCAGGTGAAGCGCCGGCCGGCGAAGCGCTCCAGCACCTCGCCCACGGACTTGGTCGGGTGCGCCAGCATCGGCTTGCATGGGACCCCGACCACCAGCTGGCAGGCGGCCTCCAGCGCCTCGCCCGGGTGCGCCCCGTGCTCCAGCAGGGCCGGCACCAGGTGCTCATAGGAGGACACCTGCACGAAGGACCGCTTGACCGTGGCCACCGCCGCGGCCATGGCCTCCCGCAGGGCCGGGTCCAGCTCCAGGTCCGGGCGTTTGCCCGGCCGGTCGGGGAACCGCCGGGACAGGACCGACGCGTGGGCCAGCGCTGCCAGCACCGTCTGCTCGGCCAGGCCGATGCGGAGCTTGCCCTCGAGGGAGCTGCGTCGGTGTGCGTGCGTGTGTGTGTGCGAGAGAGGGAGAGAGGGGCAAACCATGGTTAGCATTGCGCACGCTTGGCCGCCCGAGGGTGGCTCCCGGAAGGGCGCGGCGGGGGGGGGGGGGGGAGCGGAGAAAGGGCCAGCACAGCAGCCACCCTCGGGGCGGGGGGGGGGGGGGGGGACACGCCCGCGGCCACGCACCGAACCAGGTACTTGCTCTCGGAGTCGATGCAGGCCACCAGCATCTGGGAGATCTTGTCGGTCTTCTTCTTGACACTCTGTGTGTGTGCGTGTGTGTGTGTGTGTGTGTGTGTGTGTGTGTGTGTACAGGGGGCGGGGTCAAATTAACGGCCGGCAGAAGAGGGCAGTGCACACGCCCCCGGCGAACAAGCCGCACACCCGAGCACACGTACGCTGGACCCGGAGAAGTGGGCAATCTCACGCAGCGATGCCAGCACCCGGCGCACGGTCAGCCGGGCGGGCTTCATCAGGGTGGCCTGCTTCAGGCGACTGGCCTGGGCAATGGTGCCCAGATCCCCGACGCTGGCCAGCTGCGTGCGGATGGCCGCCGGGGTGCGCCCGGTCGACTCGGAGATGGCCTTCACCAGGATGGACTCCCCGAGGCCGAGCTCGACACCCTCAAAGGCGGGGGCCACCTGCAGACGGCGAGAGAGGGACCAAAGGTCAGAGGAGTCCCCGGGGGCGGCGAGCGTGGCGAAGCGCCCCGAGCGCGAAGGGGCGCGCCCGTTGTCCCCCCCCTCCCCCCCCCCCCCCCCCCCCCCCCCCCCCCCCCCCCCCCCCCCCCGCCCCCCCCCCCCAGACCCCGGAGAACAAACACCCGAGGCCGGCGGCAGGGCATGAAAACCGGCACCCCGAGCGCCCGCCGGGCGGAAGGGCCAGCAAGGGCCGCCGGCGAGACAAGGCACAAATCCAAGGACAGGCAAAAAGGAGAGCATCTGCATGGGCGAAGGTGTGTGTATGTGGGTGTAGGCTGTGGCGTCACTCATCTCCCCGAGTGTGAGGCCTGGATGTCGCGATATGGCTGGCTGTTGCCCCCCCCCCCCCCCCCCCCCCCCCCCCCGTACGAGCGGCAAGCCAGCGGGCCTCGGGCTGCCGAGGGCCAGGCATCAACGCACTCGGTTGATGCACAAATACACGCATGCAATCAGGTCCTCCGGCGAGCGGTAGATCACCTGGCGGAAGAAGGCGCAAAGAAGCTCCGTGATGATGAGCCTGGCAGTCGGCCGGGCGCCGGAGGCCAGGCGGGTGGGGCGGGCGGGGGGGTCAGGTGTCCGGTGGCGGGGGGCGCGCGGCCGCGGCATGTGCACTGGCGTACCGCTTGGTGGTGGATTCCACCGCCTGGAAGGTGTCCGTCAGGGCGGAGTAGGGGACGCTATATGTGTGGGCGGGCGGGCGGGCACATGCGAGGCGGGGGGAGGGGTCAGATACTCGCAAGGGGCAGGGGGCAGGGGCAAAGGAGGGGAGGAGGGGGGAGGGACGCACGGCGAGCCCACCGGCCAGGGGGCAGGCTCCTCCTCGGGAGTCGAGGCATCCGCGGCCGGGGTGTTTGCGGTCTCAACCTTCAGGCGCTTGGCCGTCTGGGCATCGTCCAGGACGTCGGCCGCCGGGTGCTCGCGCTTGACGCCAGCCGCGTCCAGGGCGCCGGTCTCCGGCTTGGGGGCCGGGTCATCACTGGTAGCGGTGGTGGTGGTGGTGGCGGCGGCGGCGGCGGCGGCGGCGGCCGGCTTGGCCGTGCGCGGCGCGAAAAAGGCCGAGATGGAGGCCGCCGTGATCGGGGCCCCGGGGTTGGGCTTGCGCGCAGGGGGCATGCTGCTACTGTTCAACAGGCGCCTGGAGGCCTGGAGTGCGACGTCGGCCGTGAGAGCCGTGTTGATGCTGGCAAAGGCGACGGCAGTGGACGAGGTGACTGGCTCGGTCCGGGAGGGGGGGGGGGGGGGGGGGGGGGGCGCGGGGCGGGGGGGGTGGGGGGGGGGGGGCCGGGGGGGGGGGGGGCGGGGGGGGGGGGGGGGGGGGGGGGGCGGGGGCAGCAGAGGGTCCGTCAGGGCGAGAGCACGACACCGAGGGCGGGCGGGGCTGTCCGAGGGAGACGACGCACGGAGATCCTCCACGCGGGGTGCCGGCGGCTGGGTGGCGGCCGAGTGCCGGGCGGTGGGGGCCGAGGAGGCAAATGCACGGAGGCCGGCCGACGCGAGGCAGGGCAAGAGCAGGCGTCGATGCGGGCGGAGATGCGGATGCAGGGACAGGGGGCTTGCGCCTCGGGGGCGAGCGAGCGCTGGCAGCCGGAACAGTCTGGCGTCTCGGGTCGGCGGGTACGTTTGTGTGTATATGTGTGCGGGCGTGTGCGGGCGTGTGTATGGGTGGGTGGGGGTGCGTGCGTGCGCGCGGGAGGGAGGTGCGGAGGGGGGGAGCATGGGCCTCGCGAGCCCTGTCGGCGTGTCGGGGCCGGCGCGCTTTTGGCCCGCCCCCGCCGGTCGGCCCCCCGGCCGGTCGCCGCCGCACGCGGCAGATCGCGCGCGCCCGGCGGCGGCCCCAGCCGGAGCCGGCTTTGCGATGGTGGCCGGGGCCGCCCGGCAAGGGCCCCGGCGACCGGCCGCGCCGCACGCGTGCTCCGCGGCCGGCATTTCAAATCCCCCCCCCCGTTATGCCAAAGGCGCCCCAGCCCCAGCGCTGCCCCGGCTGCCCCCCCGCCCCCCCGCCCCCGCCGGGGGAGAACATGCATAACGGTCCGCCACGCTCCGGGGGCGCGATCGACCGCGTACTGCCAACGGAGCGCCGTGCAGATCTCTATTCCGTGTATTGTGCGCGGGGGGGCCCCCCCCCGCGCAGGGCCGGCGCCTCAGGGCGCCATCTCCGGCGCCAGGGCCGCCCGGAGGTGGGGGAAGTACTGGCGAAGGGCGACGGCCGGCGCGGCGGCCGGGGCCACATCCGCCGGGTGCCACCGGTACGAGGCCGAGGTGCTGTGCGAGGGGAGGATCGTGGTGGCCCGGGGGTTGGACAGCTGGGCCAGAGTCCACCGGAAGACCGTGGCGAAGGCCGCCTCATCGGCGAAGAGGACCGGCACCCGGACCACCACCCCGGGCAGGGAGGGCAGCTCCACCGAGATGAGGGCCAGGTGCTGGAGCTCGGCCGCGGCGGCGGCCAGCGCGTCGGCCGCCGCCCCGCCGGGGCCCGGCCGCCGGGGCGTCAGTGGCGAGGGCGCCGGCGAGCCGGGCACCGCCGCCCCGCCGGCGCGCCACTTGGTCGGCGTCAGCACCGGCGAGTGGCTTTCACACCGGCCGCCGCAGGTGCACGGGCCGCCGACCAGGGCCGCCAAGCAGCCGGCCCCGGTCAGGGGGGCCTGGCCGGGGCCGGGGCCGGGGCCGGCCGTGGCACCGGCCCCGACGGCCGCCACCGGGCCCGGCCCCGAGCCAAGCCGGGCCCCGGGGCCCGGCCCCATGTCGCCGGCCATCTGCGGGTACGTCAGCAGGGTGTACGCCTGCATCGGGCCGGAGAGGAGCCCCTCGCCCTCGAGCAGGCGCCGCTGCGACTGCGGCTGCGATGGCTGCGAGGGCTGCTGGGCCAGCGAGCTGTTGCTGCCGGTGCCGGTGGCCGGCCCGGCCGGGGGGAGGACACCGCCAGTGCCGGGGGAGCCGGCCGGCCCCAGGCCGAGGGCCGCCAGCGGCGTGGGCCCCGCCGCGGCCCCGGCGCCCGGCCGGTGCTCCGGCAGATTCTGGTAGCTGGAGGACCGGCTCCGGGACACGGAGGCCGACCGGGCGCGCGTGTCCTCCGAGGCATTGGCCCGGCGGAAGCGATCCTTCCGGTAGGCCTCGGCCAGGGTCAGGCCCCCGCGCAGGGAGGACAGGAACCGCCCCGGCGAGGAGGGGTGCGGATGCTGGGCACCGGGCCCGTCGCCATTGGCCGGGTGGTACTCCGGGTCCGGGGGCCCGGACAGCATCATGCCCCCGACCACCGGCAGCAGGCCATCGGCCCCGGGGCCGGGCCGGGAGCCCAGCGGCGAGGGCGACGGCGGCCGGCCGGCATTCGCATCGCCCAGGCCGGCCGGCGCCAGGGCCGCGTCCTCCGGCCCCGGCGACACGGCGCAGGCGCAGGCCCCGCTGTCCGGCCGGCTGGACAGGCTCCGGGTCAGGGTCTGCGGGCAGAGCAACGCCCGGAGGGTGTAGTACAGGCTGCCGAAGCACCCGGCCCGGGGGCACTGATTCCGCGCGGACACCAGCGGGAAGATGGCATTCAGCACCAGCGACGCCAGCCCCTCCGAGGAGAGGGACGACCCCGGGGCCCCGAGGGGCAGGGTCATCGGCTCCCCCGGCGACAGGGCCATCTGGTAGACGAAGAAGAGCGACGACTGCAGGGCCTGCCGGCACACCGGGCAGAGGGCCCCCTCGGCCGGCGGCCGGGCGGGCGACTGCGCCGGGGCCGGGGCCGGGGCCGGGGCCGGCGGCTGCGGCTGCGAGCCCGGCGCCGGGGCCGCGGCCGGCTTGGCACTGGGCTCCGGCTGGCCGGAGGCCGTGGCCGCGGCCGAAAGCTGGCTGGCCGCCGCGACCGCCGGGGCGGCGCTCGAAAAGTGCCCCACTGCCGCCGCCGGGGCCGACGTCGGGGGGAGCCCCCCGGCGCCGGGCCGCCGCATCGGCGACCGGCCGCCAGCCGCCTCGCCGCCGGTCAGCCCCTGCTGGAAGGGCGACGCCAGGAGGGGCACCACCGGCGAGGTGGGCCCGTCGGCCGGGGGGCGCTGCGAGGGGACTGGCGCGCCGGCCGGGCGCGCGGCCGGCGGCGGGGTCGCCGGCGGGCCGGCCAGCACCCCGGGCCCCGGGGCCGGCGGCGGCGGCGGCGGCGGCCCAGCGAGCCCGGGCCCACCGGCGCCCGCATCGCCGGCCAGCATGAGGCCGACCCAGCGCTCGGCCGTGGCCGAGGTGAAGGTGAGCAGCTGCTCGGCGAAGGCCACCGTCCGGCGGCAGGCCGGCACCGCCAGCGTCGGGAAGCGCATGAACCGCCGGGCCAGCGACGGCGAGGAAATGGCAATCTCACTGTGCGAGGAAATGTCCCCGGCCAGGTGGCTGTCCAGGTCGTGGTTGTGGGCCACCGCGCCCAGGATGGCCCCCAGCCGGGAGACGGCCTGCCCGGTGGACCCGGGCCCGGCGTCCGGCCCGGCCGGCAGCCGGATGCGCACCGGGGCCCCGGTCGAGGTGACCGCCGGGCCGCGCTCCGTCGGCAGCAGGGTCCCATCCTGCATGATGAACGGCTGGGACAGGACATCCTGCGAGAAGCTCACTGCCGGGCAGGCGACGGGACACATGTCAGCATCAGGCACACCGGCGCCGGGTGGCAGGGGCCGCGCCCGCCGCACTTCGGCCGCGCCCCCCCCCCCCCCCCCCCCCCCCCCCCCCCGCCGGTCACCCGGCCCTACTCCGTCCGGAGGTTCCCGGTGCTGGAACACGCGCCGCGAGGTTGGGGCACCCCGGCCCCGGGCGGGCTCGTCCTCCGCCCGCGGGCTGGAGCCGT